TATCCCCTCACCAAACCCTATGAACTCTGCCATACATGCTGAGTCATATTCATTCAGGTGTTTGTACCCAAATGTCTCTCAGTGTAAATGCTTCCACTGGAGTCTAGTCAGCTCATCCAGTGGTTATATGTAAGTCATACACTCCCTCACCCAACACCATTCAGTCAAATAGTCCTCAATTTAGTGCTGGTCCACCACCTATTTTTCACCTCCATTTGGTCCCTGGTTTAACTGAGCTGACACCAGTCCTGCATTTGATGCCTACATTGCCATAGGCTCAAATGAGCAAGCCTCCAGTGGCCTGGAAATCTCCACCTCCTTGTATTCATGAGCCAGCCTTGGCTCTTACAATCTTTCTGCTTCCTTTTCTGCAATAGTCCCTGAGCCATGGGTGGGTGAGTTTCTATACAGGAATTCAATCATACACTCTACACTCTCTTATTCTCCAAAACTGGGCCAGCTGTGGCCTTCTGTGTGTATCACACTCTGACACTCTGATGTAAATGGATGCCTCACTGGTGATAGTTGAGGGGTGCATTAGCCCTCTCTCTACCCCTTATTCCACTATGTTCCATAAACCTTGGTTGTAGGAACTCGACTGCAGATGTGTCACCTAGTACCAGGCCTCTCCCAGGTGTATGTTCTCTATGGCTGACCAGATGTGCAACTCTGTGGTAGTCTCCATCTGTTGCAAAAACAAGTTTCTTTGATGAGTGCTGTATGGCATTGTCACTGTAAGGGAGGTCTCTTCTATCTCGTACTGTGTTCCCTTCCAATAAGCTCTTAGGTATACATATGCATTAATGTTCAGACACTACGTCCATTTCTCATAGGGTTTCTAGGGCATCACTTTTCCCTCTAGGTTTCCTAGCCCCCGAGATTCACTCATCTCTATTCTTTTTTTTCCCATCTGGCCTCCCTTCTTCCTCCCTTCCTAGTCACAGGGCTCCCATTATTCCCACCCTTCCTCGCAATACCTCTCCACTCCCACCATCTTTCCTCTTCTGACTTCTGTCCCTCCCCGACACCGTGGTCCCTTGCATGTCCCTCCCTCATCTCCTCCCTGGCAATTACT